TTTTTTCCAAGGAGATTGATTCATACAGATCTCATCAGGGGCAGTCTATCTCTATTTACATACCACCTTTAGAGTCAAATCATTTTTAATAGTTACCTTCCCTAAAGGTAGGTATTTCCGATATAAGCATTTGTTTGTTTAGATTATTTTCTTGTTCATTTGTTGAAAAGACCTTCATGTACTCAGTGTGGCTACATTATTTGCAAATTTAATAATTTGCAAATTGAGCATACCTGATCAGTTATATGGTTTCTCTTTCTGACTTCAGCTGGCAATCTCATTTTTCCTGTGGTCACCCACGTGGTCCTGATCCGTCAGTTTTTGAATTTATCTCAGGTTGCCCTCATTAACCCTGTGGCTGAATTGGCCCTGTTCCTATTGTGGTAGTGATTTATCTGTTAAAAATGCTCCCATTAGTTCTCCATTCATTTAAGGGAAAAACAGTAAAACATTTTAGAAATTCACATAAGAATAATTTACACCATAAAGTTAAAGAATGTTGAGGTATAAATTGCATGGCTTTGTAATAGGAAGAGTCTGGACGGGAAGGCTTTCCATATGAGCCCAAACCACCTAACAGGTTGTGAGCCTCATTTAAATCTGTGGCTAAATGACATAATCAGGTAAGATTGTTTTGGAAACTTCTTCAAGCTTTTGTTTTATTTAATTTTGGTAAAAGTTCATCAATGCCCTTTGATATGTTTACATATAATTTATTTTCTGCCATCAGGTTCTTAATGTTGAAAAATTGTTATCTAGAGAATATTTGGTTTCTACGAGTTTCCTTCTACTTCATCCCGTGTCATAGATTTTCTTTTCAGCATGTTCATTCAGGTTCTCTCGGGCTAGCATCTAGCTGAGATCAGATTTACTTCATGCAACATTCTGCACAAACCTTTTAGATATTGATCATTGTTTTTAAGTTGCAATTAAAATGTATACTTTGGGGAGGTTCATCATAAAGGATTGGAATACTGATCTTGATTTATGTATGCCCCTCCAATATTATTAGGTGACTTTTAAAATGGAGTAATTGGGGAAGATTTTGATAAGTAGCTCATTTTTATAATCACTTTACGCCCCACTTGAATGCATTGCATCAGAAAAGGAAGAAACTGGAAATATATTCAGTATCAGGAAGAGTGCTAAGTTTATTTCTGATGTTGTACCTTCTTATACTTAAAATAATTATTACCTATATTCTAGCTCATGCTACTGGTAAGTGGTAGAGCTTGGATTTGAAACCCTTTTTTGTTTTTGTTTTTGCTTATTGCTTATTGCATGTGTGTGTGTTTTCTGTTTAGTTTTATAAACTAAACATCACAAGTTTGGAGAGAAAGACATGATACTTAGGACTGTCTCAGATGTGGGCTGTCAGGTGACTTCTCTTTGGCTTATGGTGACAAAATACGAGGGGTATTCAAATTCTAGGAAAATATTTGAAGAAATGTTGGGAAAGAAAAAGATGAAGGGGGTTTGGTTTTGTTCTTCTTACTTGCACAGATAGATATAGCTCTCTGTGTATGTGGTATTAAGTTTCTAAGGTGATTGGTTTGAAACCCTGCAAGGTCTTTGTATGCTTTCATATAATGCCTTTGAAATCATAAAAGAAAGTGTGTGTGTATGTGTGTGCATGTGTATTTCAGTATTTATTTTACATATAACTCTATTTTAAATAGGTAGCATTAACAATGCATATAGCCCCTTTAGCTAGAATTTGTATTTTTCTGAACCATGCCAAATAAGATGTCACCTCTCATTTTATTCAGAATAGATCTACTGTATGATGTTGCACTCTCAAGGGTAATGACAGTGTTTGCTAAAGTTACAGAAATCAACTGAATGAAGTACTTCCGGGTTTTTTGTTGTTGTTGTTAAATTCTGGTGTTAAAGAGCTAAGGCTACCATTTATTCAGTTGAGATCAAACTGAATTTCATATCACTTTCAGTAGGGTCAGGTTATGCATCTGTGTGGTGGTATTGTCTATAATAGTCTAATTTTTTGTTTATCAATATTGCTTTAATGGTATAGTTAGAAGACACTCTTCTTAAATAACAAATTTGTTTTCTTTGAGAAAATAATGTTCATAGTAGTAAAGGCCCCTGGAAGATGGGCAGGTCTAGTTCAACCTATATTTTTTTTAGGATCTATTATAATTGAGGTGATATGACTTCTGAACCAAGAAATATTAGAGGGGAACTGAGAAAATATGTTTATTCTATCTGACTTGGAAATTTATAAAAATCATGAAAATATACACAAGGTTTATTAAGAAATTAAAAGGTGATTGTCATAATAAAATTATAATAAAAATAAAATTAACATGTTGCAGTCTTTCATTAATAGTTAATATGATATATTGTTTTATTCAACTTGTTCAGCATTGTGTTTCTAGAGCATTTTCAGATGTTAGCAAATTTTAGATTATTGAATGATTTTATAGTTGGAAAGGCTTTCAGTTAACATGAATCTAAAAGTTGTTATTTAATTAACCTCAAAATTGCAGCATTTATTTATGGTAGTGAGGCAGAAAATAGGTTTATTTAGGTTTGAAGTAACGATGTATTTAAGTTAAACCTTTATCTTCTGAAATCCGTTTACTCTACAGCTACTAATTATATATTATATTAGACACTAAGGTCTCAAAGCAAAGATGCCCTAGTGTTCAGTCTCTCTCAAATAAGTAAAATCTTAAAAAAAAAATACATTTTTTTCATGATTTCACTCTTATTGATGCTTTAGTTAACATCGTTCTCAATTGTGATTTTTCATTAATGTGAATGATTTGTTTCCATTCAATGCCTCTTGAAGAATTTTGTCATAATTGGAGCATTACTAACCATTGTGATTTTTAGCTGGTGGTGAATCTATGGTTATAAATGCATTAATGTCAAGATATTTACCATTATTACTGGATATTTTCAGTATTTGTGTATATTAAAATATTTCTTGGCCTTTTTTTTTTTTAACATTTCTTGCTCTTTTTTTTTTTTAAGATTTTATTTATTTATTTGACAGACAGAGATCACAAGTAGGCAGAGAGGCAGGCAGAGAGAGAGAAGGGGAAGCAGGCTCCCTGCTGAGCAAAAAGCCTGATGCGGGCCTGGATCCCAGGACCCTGAGATCATGACCTGAGCCGAAGGCAGAGGCTTTAACCCACTGAGCCACCCAGGTGCCCTAACATTTCTTGCTCTTGTGTCAGCATTTATTTATTTATTTATTTTTGTATCCACTTTGGAAATTGGAAATTGGTTATAACTTAGATTTAACCTTGGAGGCAAATTAGGTATTTTTAATTTTTGAGATTTTTAAGAGCCTAAGTGTCTTTGTTTATATTTTAAGCTTTATTCTCCCAAAGGCTTTTAAGAATATGTAGATATTTTGGGAGTGTTTTACACATAGTTTGATTTAAATTCAAATTTAGTGATGCAAGTAGAAATCATTTAATAAAAATCATCTAATGCAAATCTGTTAGATTTTATATTATTAGGGACAAAATACTAAATATTTTTGAATGTGAATCTGAAAGGGAATATGTTTTTCATTTTTGTTACATACTTCTTCAGGACCATGAAGGTATTTCACTTGTTCAATCTCATAATCTTTCTGTAAGAATGATAAAATGGAGGGCTGGTCATTTTATGTAGTATTTGTTACTGTTCAGTTAGGTAGTTTTGGTTGCAAAAAAAAAAAAATGAACAGTCTGATTCAAGTTGATGCAGGGGGTATATACATTACAGTTAAGGAATTATGTGAGATATAGAAACAAAACAAAACAAAGCAAAACAGGAACCAATCACAGCACTTTATGAAAATCAGTGGAAAATGGCAGTCATCAGAATGGCAAGACTGACCATATAAAATAAAAGTAGGCATCTCTGGAATGGAAGCATAGCGGGACCTTCAGCAGCACAAGGCTTGGCTCTTGTCTATTGAAGGCAGAATTACTATGCTGATTCTGAGCGGATCCTGTGGTTACATAAAGATTAGTTTCTTATTCCTGCTTTACCACTTACTAGCTGAATGACAGAAAGTCACCTTTCTGCTGTAAAATGACGATGGTAATATTATCTGCTTCTACAGTTAGAAACATTACAAGAGATAATCTGTGTCAGAAAAGTACTTGGTACATCACAGTTAATGAACTGTAGAGCTGCCACCTTCACCTTCTTTCTTTTTCTTCATCATCAGCACCCGACATTAATATGGTTCATAAATTTTCAGTGCTTCTGCTTTTGTCACTATGTATTCTTACTTGTCTCAACATTACCAGTTTAATTAGTTGTCATTCAAGTCTTGTCTTCAACTCAAAGTCACAGTTTCCTCATAACCTTACCTTGTTTCTAACCCTGCACTGTATCTTTCGTGGTTTAGTTTCCTCTGCCAGAGGCCTGATTATCTCTAACTGCCCCCAAATCAAACTCCAAGGAGAAGAATGCTTCCTGTTTTGTTTTTCTTTGACTGAAGGTTCTAGTGTCTGATCATCCATTGGTCTGGTCTGTGATTGTTAAGTTCAGATCAGTAGCCTGTTGAGTCTTGTGATGTTACCTGCTACTGGCCAATAGAGGTAGAGGTGGGGCTTTTTACCCAGAAAGAAGTGATTATGGCAGTCTCATGCCTACTACATCTAAAACAGTAGACATAGAAAGTTAGGATCAAACAACTTACCAAATTATGGAACTAGTGGGAGTAGTAAAGCTGGGTCTTGAATAGTAATCTGTGTCTCCCAACCCAATAATCTTTTCAACAGACTAAGCATTCTTGGTAATCTTGAAATATTTGAGCCATTATAAAATTGCTGTGCAAATTACTGGATAATCTTGGTACTTAAAATTTCAAAAAAATTCTTAAGTATCAGATTTTATTATTTATTATTTTAGTATGAACTGAATTCTATTCCATGTCCTGAAAAACAGTGTTTTATTTTAAAATGTCTTTATTTTTATAATTTATAATTGAATGCTACTGACTTGTTCTTTTTGTTTTAACCTTTTTTTAGGCTGCTAAGTTGGCTCTCACAGTGCAAGCCTTGGAGTCCCAATGGGGGACTCAGGATCAAGACGATCTACCCTGGTCTCCCGGTTGCCAATATTCAGAAGAAGTATTAGCAGAAGACATGATTCTCTTCCTTCCTCACCCTCCTCCAGTAATACAGTTGGTGTCCACAGTTCCTCTCCTTCCAGCACTAACTCAAGCTCAGGTAGCACAGGTAAACGCAGGAGCATATTCCGTACTCCTTCCATTAGTTTCCACCATAAGAAGGGGAATGAACCTAAGCAAGACTCTACCAACCAGAACCTTAGTATTTCAAATGGTGCTCAATCTGGTCATAGCAGTATGCCAAAACTGAGTTTGGAAGAACATATTAAAACCAGGGGAAGACATTCCGTTGGTTTTAGCAGTTCACGGAATAAGAAGATAACAAGATCTTTAACAGAAGATTTTGAAAGGGAAAAGGAGCACTCAACTAATAAGAATGTTTTTATAAATTGCCTAAGTTCTGGCAAAAGTGAGGGGGATGATTCTGGATTCACGGAGGAGCAAACTCGCCGTTCTGTTAGGCAGTCAACAAAGAAGCTACTTACTAAATCCTTTTCATCTCACTATAAGTTTTCTAAAGCAGTTCCACAGAGTCAATCCATTTCATTGGTACAACAGTCTGGATTCTCATTGGAAATTACACAGTACCAAGAGAGAGAACCTGTATTAGTAAGAGCTTCTCCATCTTGTTCTGTGGATGTAACAGAACGGGCAGGAAGTTCTTTACAGTCTCCATTGCTTTCTGCTGATCTTACAACAGCTCAGACACCTTCAGAGTTTTTAGCCTTGACTGAAGATTCTGTGTCTGAAGCGGATGCATTTCCTAAAAGTGGAAGCATGGCATCCCACTGTGACAACTTTGGCCACAATGATTCTACCTCTCAGATCTCTTCCAATCCTGCTGCTGTTACAAAGACAACAATAGACCTTATGGGAACTGTTCCCTGTGCAATTATGTCTCCTGGAAAATACAGGTTAGAAGGCCGGTGTAGCACTGAATCTAATTCCTTATTAGAAACCTCTGCTGCTAATCAGAAGGAAGTGTTATTGCAAATCACCGAACTACCTGTTATGAATGGGAACAACTCAGAGACTCACCTATCAGGAGATATGCAAAGAGAAGAACATATGGTAGTACAAAATGGTGAAACAATGTTGGCAACAAGCTCCCCAAGGAAACTTGGATTTTATGAGCAACATAAAGCAATAGCTGACCGTGTTAAAGGGATTCATCCTGTTTCAGATTCAAGGGTAATACCTTCTTCTGGTGACCATCATATTTTTAACAAAACATCCTATGGATATGAATCAAACCCTGCCAAAGGTATGGTCAGTTTCTTTGTATTGTAAATATGAAATAGAATTTTCATTCTAATTTATTTAATTTTCTTATTCCAGCTCATGAATAGAAACCACCTTTTCCTTATTTTCCACTCTCTAGTCTTTTTTCTTATTTATAATTCGTCTTAAATCTTTACTTGATTTTAAACTTACCTGACTTGTATTATGCTAAAATGTAATTCAGCAATATTACTCATTTTTCTTAGTTGTGTTGTCCAGATCCTGGCCCTCAGAAGAGAGATGAAAGAAATTAATTTTATTTGGAAATGTGGCCTTATCTAAAATAAGGATTTCCTTTTTTAGAGGAAATGGTAGAGAATTGGTGTTTCTTAGTCAATGAAATTAATTTTATTTCTTAGTCAATGAAATGGTTATATTCCAGCCAAAGTCACTATAAAAGAAATTTCCATAATTTAAATTCTACTTCCTTTTTTAACAAAACTTGAATTAAGTAGGATCTATGTTTCAGCACAAATAAATATAAATCTTTAAATATAATAGGCTTGTAATATTTAAAAATACTGTCCTTGGATCCTGGATACTGGTTCTGATCTGCCTCTGTCATTAAATACCTGTGTAACATTGGGTACTTTCTCTTCGGTTAAAAAAGGGGGGTATGGAAATGGGTGGCTGAATTATTCCAGTATGTCATTTAACAGAAAACTTCGTTATTTAAATTTCATTTAAGAAAACTGTTGAGGGGCGCCTGGGTGGCTCAGTGGGTTAAGCCTCTGCCTTCGGCTCAGGTCGTGATCCCAGTGTCCTGGGATTGAGCCCCACATCTGGCTCTCTGCTCAGCAGGGAGCCTGCTTCCTCCTCTCTCTCTCTTTGCCTGCCTCTCTGCCTCCTTGTGATCTCTGTCTGTCAAATAAATAAATAAAATCTTAAAAAAAAAAAAAAGAAAAAAAAAGAAAAAAGAAAACTGTTGAATGTATGCCACCTACGGGGCTGTATTTGACAGTATTTTATCTTTTTTTTCTTTTTTTTTCCTCTGCTGTGATCCCTACTGCCTCTGCTGCTGCTGTTGCTACTCCTACTATTCCTATTACTTCTACTACTACTACTGCCAACTAGTTCTCCCAACATTGAATGCTTCTTATGTCTTATCATTATTATTTCCAATTCTTTGGACTTTGGATACATTAATTCATCAAATTCTCACATGGTTGTAATTGCTACAATTACAGCCACCCATTTTACAGATAAAATACTTGGAACACAGATACATTAAGTAATGTTTCTGAAGTCACAACATTAGTAGATAATTGTTTGGGATACAAACCCTATGAGACAGGTATTAGTGGTCTCCATTTTACAAATACGTAAACTGAGACCAAGGGATCATATGGCTGTTAAGTGGCAAAGATCAAATTACAACTGTCTCAATTCAAAACTCAGGCTCTTAGTGACCGGGCTTAGTGATGTCATGACCCCAGCTCTTTCTAAAACATTAAGAATAATACTAAATTATTACATAAAAATTACAATAAGTCAAATTATATATCAGAGTGTCAAGAATCTTAAGATTATATGATTAATCCAATTAGTCCCTCCATGAATATAACAATTTAAACGTTTTATTTTCTTAAAGATTTTATTTATTTATATTTGTGAGAGAGCAAGGGAATGGAAAGAGAGCCCGAGGGGTGGGGAGGGACAGAGGAAGAAGCAGACTTCCCACTGATCAGGGAGTCCAATACTGTACTTGATTCCAGGACGGTGGGATCATGACCTGAGCCAAAGGCGGCTGCTTAACCGACTGAGGCACCCAGATGCCCAATTTTAAAGTTTTAAATGCATGAGTGAATTCTCTAGCTGTATAATTATGCAGCCCAATATTTTCCACATTTAATACAAGATCATTTTTATGCATCTGCCTACTTTTTAAATTGTTTTTATCTTGGTAGCCTTGTTTGTACTTACGGCTTTAGTTACACCTTTAGTTAATTCTTTAATTATAGTATAGTAATAATAAGAACAATGCTGATTGATGATGGTCAACCTTTTTGTTCACTTAATGTGTGCCCAAAAGTATGCTAAGCAATTTATTTGCATTGTTTCATTTAATCTTCTTTTTAAATTTATTTTTAAAAATTTAATTACAGTGTACTTAACATACAGTGTTTTACTAGTTTTGGGTATACAATATAGTGATTCATCAGTCCCTTATCTTACTCAGTGCTCATCAAGATAAGTATCTTTTTTTTTTTTTTTTTAAGATTTTATTTATTTATTTCACAGACAGAGATCACAAGTCAGACAGAGATCACAAGTAGGCAGAGAGGCAGGCAGAGAGAGAGGGGGAAGCAGGCTTCCCGCTGAGCAGAGAGCCCGATGCGGGGCTCGATCCCAGGACCCCGGGATCATGACCTGTGCCGAAAGCAGAGTTTTTAACCCACTGAGCCACCCAGGCGCCCCAAGATAAGTATCATTTAATCTTTTTTTTTTTTTTTAAGATTTTATTTATTTATTTGACAGAGATCACAAGCCAGCAGAGAGGCAGGCAGAGAGAAGGGGGGAAGCAGGCTCCCTGCTGAGCAGAGAGCCCCATATGGGACTCAGTCCTAGGACCCTGAGATCATGACCTGAGCCAAAGGCAGAGTCTTAACCCACTGAGCCACCCATGTGCCCCAGTATTGTTTAATCATAATGAAAGTTTTATATGGCAATTATTAATAATTAAGGATTAAGTTCAGTAACTATGAAATCACACTGTTAGCAAATGGTGGATCTCAAATTGGAATTTAGGCAGTTTTTAAAAGAAATAGCACCAAAAAAAGAGTAGAAATGTACTTCTCCTGATTATCTCTAATTCTTATTTAGAAACAATCATTTGTCTCGATGCCGAATTGAATGCTGTATATACTTACCTCTGTGGGAATATCTTGCTGACTATTAATCTGTTGACTAAGATCCTAATTGTGAGCCATTTAACACATTAAAGTAATTTTGATGAATTTGATAATGTGTTGCTGGTTCTTGGGACATTAGCTGTTTATTTGTGTTATCTACAACTTTAAAAAAGAGAGGGATAGACAAATAAGCTGGTAACGTCAACAAGGAAAAGATAATAGTATTCTATCCTTCAGTATGTGGAGAGGTTTTTGTGGCATTCATAAAGATTTTATAATTTGGAAGTTCAACATTTTAAAACCTGTTAAGTAAATGTTTTTTATGTAAGAAAGAATTTCTATGTACACTAAATTCCATAATACTAAATTTATTCTGCGTTTATTATGGAAGATGTTTAAATTAGTATTTAATACATACCTGAATGTCTGGGGTATATAGTCATATCAAAAATAATATAAAGTTGAGCTCTTTATTTTTCTATTCACTGTTGATGAACATTTAGATTGTTTACATACTTAGATATTATACATGATGCTACTATAAACGTGGGGTACAGCTATCTCTTTGAGCTAATGATTTAATTTCCTTTTGATATATACCCAGAAATGGAATTCCTGCATCATATGGTAACTTTATTTTTAATTTCTTGAATAAACTCCATACTTTCTCCATAGTAGCTGTACCACTTTGCATCCCCACCATCAGTATATAAAGGTTCCTTTTTCTTCACAGCATTGACAATGCGTGTTCTCTTTTGACTTTTTATTACTAGCTGTCCTAACTGGTGTGGTGTGATATCTCATGGTTTTGATTTACCTTTTCCTGGTGAATAGTGATGCAGAACATCTTTTCATATGCCTGTTGAGTTGTATGAGTTCCTTGTATATTTTGGATGTTAACCCCTTATAGGGTATGCTATTTGAAGATTTATTTTCTCCCATTCTATAATCTGCCTTTTCATTTTGTTGATTGTTTACTTTGCTTGCAGAAGCTTTTCACTTTGAAATAGTACCAGTTTATTTTTGCTTTTGTTGCTTTTGCTTTTGGTGTGAAACCCAAGAAGTCATTGCCAAGACTAATGTCACAGAGCTTACCCATACTTTTTTTTTCTAGGAGTTTTATAATTTCAGGCCTTATGTTCAAATCTTTAATTCATTTTGAGATTTTTTTTTTTTTTGTATGTTATAAGATGGGGTTCTAGGTTCATTCATTTACATATGGCTCTTCAGTTTTTCCAACACCATTTACTGAAGAGACTGTCCTTTCTGCATTGCATATTCTTGGGTCCTTTGACAAAAATTAATTGCTCATATGTGATGGTTTTATTTCTGGGCTTTTTATTCTGTCCCATCATTGATCCATGTTCTGTTTTTATGCCAATACTGTACTGTTTGATTACTTTAGCTTCGTGATATAGAGTGAAATCAGGCAATATGACACCTTCAGCTTTGTTCTTTCTCAGGATTGCTTCGGCTGTTTGAGGTCTTTTGCAGTTCTTTTGTAGAATTGCTTTTGTATTTCCGTGAGAAACAACATTATAATTTTGATAGGGTTTGCATTGAATCTGTAGATTGCTTGAAGTAGTAAGGACATTTTAACAATATTAATTCCTCCAGTCTATGAACAAAGAATATCTTTCCATTTATTTATGTATTCTTCAACTCCTTTCGTCAGTGTCTTAGAGTTTCCCATGTAGTGATATTTCCCTTCCTTGGTTAAATTTGTTTCTAAGTATTTTATCCTTTTTGTTGATATTACAAATGGGATTATTTTCTTAATTTCACTTTCTGATAGTTCATTGTCTATAGTTTGGCCTCAGGTCTCACAAAGACCCTTTTAAGTATGGTGAGCAGGGTATTAATCAGGGTAGAATATTAGTGAAGAGTTGAAGGTGATGAGGGAGTAAGATACACAAAATTTAAGAGAAATATAACTGTGCAAAGCCTATGAGATCAAGGTCATGGGACTGCAGTGTGCCTGCAGTGTTCCAGCAACTGCTAGAGGCCGTGGAAGAGGGTGCAGCAGGTGAAGTTACAGGTGAACATAGGGAGACTCTTAATGGAGGGACAGATCACAAGGCAACTTAGGTTGGGAAAATATCAACTCTGTGACTAGAAGAGTGATCATGACCAATGTCACTTAACGTCTTCAGTGTATCATTCTGGTTACCATGTGGAAAGCAGGCTGTGTTTTTTGAAGAGATAGAGGTAAGTGGGAATGGGCAAAAGCAGGAGACTATTTAAGTATTATAGTAACCCAAGCTAGGGTTGGTAAGAGTTTGGTCCAGGATGCATTGGTGGAGAAGGTAGTAAGAAGTGATCAGATTCTGTATGCAATTTAAAGGTAATAAGGACAGGCTTGGATTATGCAATTTATCTGAGATATGGAGAAGCCAAGGATGACCATGAAGGTTTTGAGCTTTGAAGTGATTACATGATTAAGTAAACTAAATTTACCATTACTAATTAAAAATTTTTTGTATGATAGAGAGTTTGAATGACACTAAGAGTTTCTCATTTTTTTCAATGGAACATTTGTAAAAACTACATTTAAGCATTTGTATTAATTTTTATTTATTTATCTATTTTCATAGTTCTTGCCAGTAGCTTCAGTCCATATCGTGAAGGAAGATTTATAGAAAGGCGACTGCGATCCTCATCCGAAGGAACTGCAGGGAGCAGCAGGATGATTTTGAAACCAAAAGATGGAAATGTAGAAGAAGTGAGTAGTTTAAGAAAGCAAAGAGCAGGTTCATCATCTTCAAAAATGAACAGCATGGTAAGTGTGTGTGTATACTTGCATTAATTAAGATAATTACGGATGTGCCTGGGGTATTTATGCCTCTTGCAAAATTAAAACAGACTGACAGAAAACAAACAGACTAAAGAATAGATACTTCATATTTGAAGGGAAAATTGGTCTCCTTAGTTGACGTCGCATGTTAGAGAGGCTGTGTTTTCACTTCAGATTCTTATGTGTCGTGACAGATAGTAGTACACCTGACAGTTACCCTTAATTCCTATCTTCCTTGCTTCCATAGAAGATTTGATACATCTCTTCTAGAACAAGACCCTGGGATACGCAAACTAATTAAAAATGCTGAACATCACAAGGGTACCCTTTGGTAACCATTCTTTCACACCATCTCTCTACCCTATAGCCACTCTAAAAATGTCCAGTTATAAGCCATACTTACGCCACTACCACCCATTGACCTCTTGGTGGATCCTGCTCTGCCCGTCCTTTTACAGTTGCCTGTCCACACAGAATGAGGAGCTTTGGGGTCAAGACAAAATGCCCATCCAAAGCTTTGACACATTCTAGGTAACCAGGATTCCAGATTTCTTGTCTAAACTGCAGGAACCTTCCAGGTGAGGGTGAAGGTAGCGTGTATATAGGGAGTCAGGTCTGAGTTTGCACTTGGGGACTGTGGTGTCTAGAGGCACAAGTATGATTCTCCTTCACAGTGAGAGATAAAACCAGGTGGGAAGAGGTGATGAGTAGACTACAGCCCAGGAGGTCCGGAAAGCCTTGGATTTCACAAATACTTGGGTGGGCTTGACTTTTGGAATTCTCTTTGCTCACTTTCTCACAAATGTTTCCTTTTTCAGCAGTGTTTTTTGTTCTTGATATTTAACAGTGTTTTCTAAAAATGATCTATCTACTTGTCTACCTACCTACCTATCTTCCTATTCATGGATATGTGTGAAAAATCCTCAAAATTAAATTACTTGTACATTTTATCTCTGTGAATTTTACATGATTTATTTCCAAAAGAAAATAGTTCATCCAGTTTTAACAATTGTATTGTGAAGAAGTCTTAAGTTACTGAGGCAGCACTGAGTGAGAGCAAAACTACTGTACTTGAAGTTAAAAGTTCTAGCAATTAGGTCAGGTTTGGACAGATCTTACTCTTGGGCAAATCAGTAACTACAAAACAACAAATGATAGTGGACTTTTGTTTCCATTATACTAAAAAAAGATTGTGTGTTTGTGTTTATATTTATAGAGAGAAAGATCCTGTATTATATTTCATCTTTTTTGGGGGGGTGATATTTTACTTTATTACTGTTGCTTTTAATTTTTTTTTTATTTTTAATTTTATATATATATAAAGTATTATTAGCCCCAGGGGTACAGATCTGTGAATTGCCAGGTTTACACACTTCACAGCACCCACCATAGCACATACGCTCCCCAATGTCCATAACCCCACCACCCTCTCTCTATCCCCCTCCCCCCCGGCAACCCTCAGTTTGTTTTGTGAGATTAAGAGTCCCGCTCCCGATCACATCTTGTTTCATTTATTCTTTTCCTACCCTCCAAACCACCCATGTTGCATCTCCACTTCCTCATATCAGGGAGATCATATGATAGTTGTCTTTCTCCGATTGACTTATTTTGCTAAGCATAATACCCTCTAGTTCCATCCACGTTGTCACAAATGGCAAGATTTCATTTCTTTTGATGGCTGCATAGTATTCCATTGTATATATATACCACCTCTTCTTTATCCATTCATCTGTTGATGGACATCTAGGTTCTTTCCATAGTTCGGCTATTGCAGACATTGCTGCTATAAACATGCGGGGGCACGTGCCTTTTCGGATCACTACATTTGTATCTTTAGGGTAAATACCCTGTAGTGCTGTTGCTGGGTCATAGAGTAACTCTATTTACGACTTTTTGAGGAACCTCCATGCTGTTTTTTAGAGTGGTTACACTAGCTTGCATTCCCACCAACAGTGTAGGAGGGTTCCCCTTTCTCCGCATCCTCACCAGCATCTGTCATTTCCTGACTCGTTAATTTTAGCCATTCTGACTGATGCGAGGTGGTATCTCATTGTGGTTTTGATTTGTATTTCCCTGATGCCTTGATGTGGAGTGATGTGGAGCACTTGTTTATGTGTTTGTTGGCCATTTGGATGTCTTCTTTGCAGAAATGTCTGTTCATGTCCTCTGCCCATTTCTTGATTGGATTATTTGTTCTTTGGGTGTTGAGTTTGATAAGCTCTTTATATATTTCGGATACTAGACCTTTATCTGTTTGTTGTTTGATATGTTGTTTGCAAATATCTTCTCCCATTCTGTCAGTTGTCTTTTGGTTTTGTTAACTGTTTCCTTTGCTGTGCAAAAGCTTTTGATCTTGATGAAGTCCCAATGGTTCATTTTTGCCCTTGCTTCCCTTGCCTTTGATGATGTTCCTAGGAAGAAGTTGCTGCAGCTGAGGTTGAAGAGGTTGCTGCCTGTGTTCTCCTCAAGGATTTTGATGGATTCCTTTCTCACATTGAGGTCCTTCATCCATTCTGAGTCCATTTTTGTGTGTGGTGTAAGGAAATGGTCCAGTTTCATTCTTCTGCATGTGGCTGTCCAATTTTCCCAACACCATTTGTTGAAGAGGCTGTCTTTTTTCCATCGGATATTCTTTCCTGCTTTGTCGAAGATTAGTTGACCATAGAGTTGAGGGTCTATTTCTGGGCTCACTATTCTGTTCCATTGATCTATGTGTCTGTTTTTGTGCCAGTACCATGCTGTCTTGATGATGACAGCTTTGTAATAGAGCTTGAAGTCCGGAATTGTGATGCCACCAACTTTGGCTTTCTTTTTCAATATTCCTTTGGCTATTCGAGGTCTTTTCTGGTTCCATATAAATTTTAAGATTATTTGTTCCATTTCTTTGAAAAAAAATGGGTGGGATTTTGATAGGGATTGAATTAAATGTGTAGATTGCTTTAGGTAGCATAGACTTTTTCCCAATATTTATTCTTCCAACCCAGGAGCATGGAACATTTTTCCATTTCTTTGTGTCTTCCTCAATTTCTTTCATGAGTATTTTATAGTTTTCTGAGTATAGATTCTTATCCTCTTTGGTTAGGTTTATTCCTAAGTATCTTATAGTTTTGGGTACAGTTGTAAATGGGATTGACTCCTTAATTTCTCTTTCTTCTGTCTTGTTGTTGGTGTAGAGAAATACAACTGATTTCTGTGCATTGATTTTATATCTTGACACTTTACAAATTCCTGTATAAGTTCTAGCAGTTTTGGAGTGGATTCTTTTGGGTTTTCCACATATAGTATCATATCATCTGCTAAGAGTGATAGTTTGACTTCTTCTTGCTGATTTGGATGCCTTTAATTTCTTTTTGTTGTCTGACTATTGAGGCTAGGACTTCTAGTAGTATGTTGAATAGCAGTGGTGATAATGGACATCCAGGCCGTGTTCCTGACCTTAGTGGAAAAGCTCTCAGTTTTTTTCCGATGAGAATGATATTTGCGGTGGGTTTTTGATAGATGGCTTTGATGATATTGAGGTATGTGCCCTCTATCCCTACACTTTGAAGAATTTTGATCGGGAAGGGATGCTGTACTTTGTCAAATGCTTTTTTAGCATCTATGGAGAGTATCATATGGTTCTTGTTCTTTCTTTTATTAATGTATTGTATCACACTGATTGATTTGTGGATGTTGAACCAACCTTGCAGCCCTGGAATAAATTCACTTGGTCGTGGTGAATAATCCTTTTAATGTATTGTTGGATCCTATTGGCTAGTATTGTGGTGAGAATTTTTGCATCTGTGTTCATCATGGATATTGGTCTGTAATTCTCTTTTTTGATGGGATCCCTGTCTGGTTTTGGGATCAAGGTGATGCTGGCCTCATAAAATGAGTTTGGAAGTTTTCCTTCCATTTCTATTTTTTGGAACAGTTTCAGAAAGAGTAGGAATTAATTCTTCTTTAAATGTTTGGTAGAATTCCCCTGGGAAGCCGTCTAGCCCTGGGTTCTTGTTTGTTTGGAGATTTTTGATGACTGTTTCAATCTCTTTACTAGTTATGGGTCTGTTCAGGTTTTCTATTTCTTCCTGGTTCAGTTGTGGTAGTTTATATATCTCTAGGAATGCATCCATTTCTTCCAGATTGTCAAATTTGCTGGCGTAGAGTTGCTCATAATATGTTCTTATAATTGTTTGTATTTCTTTGGTGTTGGTTGTGATCTCTCTTCTTTCATTCATGATTTTATTTATTGGGTCCTTTCTCTTTTCTTTTTGATAATTCTGGCCAGGGGTTTATCAGTTTTATTAATTCTTTCAAAGAACCAGCTCCTAGTTTCATTGATTTGTGTTTTTTTGTTGTTGTTTTTTGTTTTTTGTTTTTTTTTTTTTTTGGTTTCCGCTCTGATCTTTATTATTTCTCTTCTCCTGCTGGGTTTAGGCTTTCTTTGTTGTTCTTTCTCCAGGTCCTTTAGTGTAGGGTTGGGTTGTGTATTTGAGACCTTTCTTGTTTCTTGAGAAAGGCTTGTATCGCTTTATATTTTCCTCTCAGGACTGCCTTTGCTGTGTCCCACAGATTTTGAACCGTAATGTTTTCATTATCATTTGTTTCCATGAATTTTTTCAATTCTTCTTTAATTTCCTTGTTGACCCATTCATTCTTTAGAAGGATGCTCTTTAGTCTCCATGTATTTGAGTTTTTTCTAAATTTCCTCTTGTAATTGAGTTCTAGCTTCAGAGCATTGTGGTCTGAAAATATGCAGGGAATGATCCCAATCTTTTGATTCCAGTTAAGACCTGATTTATGACCCAAGATGTGATCTACTCTGGAGAATGTTCCATGTGCACTAGAGAAGAATGTGTATTCTGTTGCTTTGGGATGAAATGTTCTGAGTATTTCTGTGATGTCCATCTGGTCCAGTGTCATTTAAGGCCTTTATTTCCTTGTTGATCTTTTGTGTGGGTGATCTGTCCATTTCAGTGAGGGGAGTGGTAAAGTCCCCTAATATT